AATCCTGCACTGCCTCAACCTTGGATGCATCAACAGACACCCCTTCGCCGGATACCACGTGGCCTAAGAATTTGACCTCTTCTAGCCAGAACGCACACTTCCCAAACTTAGCATAAAGCTTATGGGCTCTAAGTAACTCAAGCACCACTCTCAAGTGTTCCTTGTGCTTCTCCTCAAAAGGTAAATAGATAAGGATGTCATCCACAAAAACGACTACAAATCGATCCAAGAATTTCCGAAAGATCCGGTTCATCAAATCCATAAAAACTGCCGGTGCATTGGTGAGCCCGAATGGCATCACCAGAAACTCATAATGGCCATACCGCGTACGGAATGCGGTCTTCGAAATATCCTCTTCCCTGACCCTCAACTGGTGGTAACCCGATCTCAAGTCTATCTTAGAGAAACAACGGGAACCCTTCAACTGGTCAAACAGGTCATCTATACGGGGCATAGGGTACTTATTCTTGACCGTAGCCCGATTCAACTTCCGGTAATTTATACAAAGTCTCAAAGGACCACCTTTCTTTTTAACAAAGAGGGCCGGTGCTCCCCACGGCGAAACACTAGGACGAATAAAGCCCTTATCTAGAAACTCCTGGAGTTGGATCTTCAACTCAACTAACTCGGCTGGGACAAAACGATAAGGTGCCATGGAAATCGGCACCGTGCCGGGCACCAGGTCAATAGAGAACTCAATCTCCCGGTGCGGTGGCAAACCAACGAGATCCTCGGGAAAGATGTCCGAGTACTCACAAACCACCCTTGGCAACACAATCTGGGTCTCATTATCCTCACTAATCGAAAGGTTAGCAAGTAGACCACTAAGCTCACTCCGTCCTCGCGGAACATACCCCGGTGGCAACACATTATCTAATTCTAAAAATAATAAATAGAAAATATGATATATGCTGGTTGGTTTTTGTTTTCAAAAACATATATGGATATAACAATACAGAGACATACAATCTATACTGCTGCTCTGTTCATGGTTTTGGTGGTTTGAATTGTTTTTATATTTTAAGAACCACAAATTGTAATATTTTATGTGAATGAGGCATGCTGTGATTGTAATATGTGGATGAGGCATACAGTGATTGTGATATTCTAAAGTTTCAAACTTTCTTTCTTTGGATGAGACATGCAGTAATTGTAATACTTTTTAAAGTCATTGACTGTAATATTTTCTTCTTTTTTTTTCTTTTTGAGGAAGTGTACAAGTTGAATTATGTTGAAAATTTATAAAATTTTAAACCGCCAAAACCGATTTGTATCCATCCTCCAATCCGCTCAATCCACATCCGCCGGATTGGCGGACGGATACGGATTGATTTTCTCCAATCCGCCAATCTGGCGAACGAATAGCAGATTGGAGGTTTTATGGCTGCAACCAACCCGCGCCCACCTTTATTGGCTATAAGTAACTTCAATTACTGGCTATCACAATACTTAACCCTTTGATACAGAGAGCGAGTCGTGACAAAGACATCAACATAATTTCCCCCAAGTATCAAAACAGATTCATAACAGATTCAAATATCAAAACACTCAAATATTTGAATGACATGAAAAACAGATTCAAACACTCAGATTCAAGTATCAAAACACTCATATCAAGACATCAACATAATTTCCTTCAAGTATCAAAACAAAGAGACGATTACCTGATAGTGCAAAGGTCAATCTTGCAAAAGTTGATATTGAGAGTTGCAGAGGATTGAGGACAGAATCTTGATAAAGGATTGAGGACACAAATAGATCTAACATAAAAAAGAAAATTTAGAGATCGAGAAGAAAGAGAAAAAGAAACAGAGACAGAGACAGGCAAAAGCTTACCTGAGAGTTGCCAGAGAGAGAGAGTCGATCTTGCGAAGGTCATCGTTCGGTGGAAATCAATGGTCGCCATCGCCCCAGAGAGAGAGAGAGAGTGTGTATGAGATGAAATAGAGAGAGCTGTGCAGTTTGTTTGATGATATTAGGTTTAGGGCTTGGTTTGTTTGGGCAACAAAAATATCTAGGGCAAATGGTCCAGATTTTTTAGAAGAAAAAAAAAATTTATTCTCTGCGGGCAGGTTGTGGTAGGTCGGATGCCAAATTAAATTTGGTTGGGTTGAGTTGTCGAATTGAGTTAGATTCGATCCTATACGATATTTATATTTTGGACAAAATTAATTTAAATTTTTGTTCTAACACCTTTGAAATGCATCTCTTTTGTAGCATATCTTCGCCATGGAAGTATGTATCTGTACAATCACAACTCTATATATGCCATCCTTCATTGCATCAGTTTTTTTATTTGCATTCATTATTCCTTTTGAGTTTTCAAGAGAGTTCAATCACATTTTAGTTTGTTAGGCACATAGATTACAGTACTTCTTCTTCTATGTGATTATTGATCATTGTATTTAGAAAGCGTAAAAAGATCATAAATACCAATGGGAGAAAAGAACTTAGATTTCTTGTATTTACCAATGACTAATAAAAAGGATTTAACAGAAAAAGAAAAGGCAAACAAAAAGGGTAAAAAAATTCCCATTATCTAAAAACTCAAAAAACTAATCACAAAATCAAAGACGACGTATATTTCTCAATGACTTTCGAAACAATTTATCTATTACAACGTATTTTGTATTCTATTATGTGATCTGCTTCTGTGTGAGTACGATGACTACGATCTGTTGGCAATAAAATCTAATTGCTGTTGGAAGTAATCCTTAGAGCAAGGAAGAACAATCCCTTTCTCGCTATGGAAGCCATACTCCTCTGCAGCCTTGTCTAGTAATTGCTTGAAGATTGGGTCCTTCAAGTACGATATCGGAACCACAAACCTCGTCATCACCTCTTGATCATCATCACGATCACGAACATAAACCACGAAGTGGCCCTTTGAAGCTCTCTTGCTTCCATCGCCGCTGCCACATGCAATCGTAGCCATGAATTTGTTGGACATGTTGATTTCTGTAAGAGAGAGAGAGAGAGAGAGAGAGAGAGAGAGAGAGTACGATGAATGAGTTATGATTTGGTTTCGAAGCAATTAATTATTGATGTATTTATAAGTAGATGTTATTGGGATTTACTAGGAATGAGACAGAGAGGAGGATAAGAAGAAAAGATGTCCTAAACCAACAACACCGTTGACAACGTGATCATACACTATCCAGGTTTCCAAAAACAGTTGCACTCGCTGCTGCTGCAGCGCAAAAAAATTGAAATTGTGATTTTTTTATTTTTTTATTTTTTAACAATTTGAAAAAATTATCGATATGTATAATTTTTTTTTAAGCATCACATTTATTATGGTTTAAAATATATTTTGATTAATTTTTGTTAATTTTTAAGTATGATCCAATATATTTCATATTTTTAAATTATTATAAAATAATTTTTTATATTTTATTTCAATAGTTAAAAACTTTAAGAATGGTTGATTTTAAATATCTACAAATTATTTTTGACCAATACTTGAACTAACTGAATAAAAAATATTCACAATTATTAAATAAAATGATTATAAAAATAAAAATTGTGTCATAAATAAAAATTATTTTTGAGGCATTTTTTTAGACAATACTTTACTACTAACTAAATAAAATTATTTATAATTAAGTATTAAATGAAATGATTATAAAAATAAAAATTGTGTCATAAACAAAAAATATTTTTAAGTTTTTTAAAGATTTTTTTTAGACAACACATTATGGTAACAAAATAAAAAATATTTATAATTAAATATTAAATAAAATGTTTATAAAAATAAATACAACTACTATTTATATATTTTTATTTTACATGCTAATGTAATGAAATAAAAAATAATGTGCGCATCACATAGTAAATCTAGGCTAATAACCGGAATAAGAACGCATAATGTTTTCAAAACTAGATATCATGGTTAGTAGAGGCCGATCTTTGATCGGGCGAGCGGGGGTGCTCACGAAGTGACCTTCCCCAATCGTACCCAAGTTCCCGAGCCGAGGCAACTTTGGTGATGACGGACACGTGGCCTTAGGCAACGAGTCAGGGTTTCCTAAATTTTCCAAAAATAAAATATTTAGGTGGCGACTCTGTATCTGGCAAAGCAGTCCATGTTTGGCACGTCTTTCAAAATCTATTTTCTCAAAACGATTTGCCGGATTTGGACTCTTTGGTTCAAATTAAGAACCGTGACAATTTGAGAGTCCTGAGCTGTAGTAACCCCAAAATGAACAGAACGGGAGCTCGTCCCTCCCGGGAGCGTTCGGGGACGTCTACACAAGGTGACACCGACATGTCAGCCGAGGTACCACGTGTGTTGGTCGTGACGCTGAGGTGATCTCGGCAAGGCCGAGGTTATCTCTGAAGATATCGGAATCCGAGATAAATGGATAAGGGACAAGAGTCCTAGAATGAGAGAAGACTTTAGTTTGTATTAAGATAAGACTCTTAGAGAGTTTATCCTAATCTTACTGGGAGTCCAAGATTAGCAGTAATCCTGAGTCCATAGAAGTTAGGCTTCTATTGGGACTACGTTTATGTTGGCTATAAAAGGGAGGCACCCCCATGGGTCTAAGGTATGCTTCTGATACTCAAGCTTGTGAGTTTAATACTTGATTTATCTTTGAGAGATATACTGACTTGATCGTCGGAGTGCCCCCGGGTGGTCGAAACCACCGCGGGATTCTTATATTTCTGTTGCAAGTCAGTCAGGTGCCATCTATTCTGCCAGTGCTCTCCAGCTGATTACTAGGCGGGCAGTGTGATCAGAAAATCACCCACACAATTTGGCGCCGTCTGTGGGAAAGGAAGAAGAATAGATGGCCAATGACAGACAGAAGGATCAGACTGGAGACAACGCTCTTGCTGGGAATAGGAGATCTATCAACCTCGACGTTGAAGGGGACAATAGCAACACAGAAACTCGTGACCAGAGTCACGGAGTGAAAGAAGTCGGCCAGAAAGGTGACGCACCAAAGACAACAGATCAAAGCAACAAAGATGACCTCCAGGTATGGAAGGATAGATAGTTGTGGAGGAACGAAGACCCTTCCAGAAGGGATGCAAAGACAGGGGGCATGAGCGCTCCCAAGGAAATAACACTCAAGTATAGAAGAACTCATCCTGAGTGAGCAGAAGTATAGAAGAGCTCAACTTGAGTGAGCAAAACTCGGATCCCGGATCCCAGAAGACATGATCTCGGCCTAGATGAGTAGGTCCGAGAAAAGAAGCGCTCAACCTGAGTGAACAGATCCAAGATTCCAGAAGATAAGATCTCGGCACCTGAGTCCAAGAAAAGAATAGCACAATGAGCAGATCTCAGATCCCCGAAGATAAAAAGGAAACACACAAGATCAGACTAAAGTTGGCCAGAATTGAGACGTATGCTAGGGCCGAGGAGGACATGCCGGGAACAAAGGCATCAGAACAAGAAAAGAGAAACGGCTCGCTGATGCAAGGCCGAAAATCAAACTCAGGTTGGAGCCAAATAAAGAAACCAAGGCCGACAACCTCGGCTTGAATTCAACCTCGGCGACAAGGTCGAAGTTACATGTATAATCAGAACCCAAGTGGATTTTAAGTTCACACTGGGGGCGTAGAGAAGAAGAATGCGTTTACCACTTGTTGAAATTTGTGGACAATTTACAAGTTGGTTAAACAAAGGTAATGTTTAACCGAAGTTAAGCCGAAGATGATGTTTAACCGAAGTTAAGCCGAGATGATGCTTAACCGAAGTTAAGCCGAGATGATGCTTAACCGAAGTTAAGCCGAAGATGATGTTTAACCCAAAGTTAAACTGAGATAATGCTTAACCGAAGTTAAGCCGAGATGGTTCCTTATCTTCACTTGTTGAAATTTGTAGCAATTTACAAGTTGAAGTTAAACTGAGATTATTCCTTATCTTCACTTGTTCAAATTTGTAACAATTTACAAGTTGAAATTAAGCCAAGATTACTATTTCTCTTCGCTTGTTTAAATTTATAGCAATTTACGAGTTGAAGCAAAGCCGAGGTTATTGCCAGACACTTGTAGCAATCTACAGGTTGGCTATACCAAAGAAGATGCTTAACACTTGTTGAAATGTGTAGCAATTTACAAGATGACGTTAAGCCAACATATGATCATCCATTGAAATTTGCAGCAATTTACAGGTTGAAGTAAAAGCTAAGTATACTGTTTAAACACTTGTTGAAATTTGTAGCAATTTACAAGTAGATCATTAATTAACACTTGTTATAACTTAAGGAAAGTTTATAGGTTGAAATTAAAACAGTATGTGTTTTATATCTGTTGGAATTTATGCAAAGTTTACAGGACAAGTTATTACCGAGGTAAATCATCAGTTTGTATACCCGAGGTATGTCACCCCGAGAAGGTTGCACAAAGAAGGAAGAGCATACTAAAGACACGCAAAATATTTTAAGTATAGAATCATGCAAAGGCAGTCAAGAAAAGACAAAGGCACAAGCATTCAGAGAAGGAAAGTTGCATTAGACATTCAAGAACAAGGAGACACATCGGCCATATGCAGAGCTTACATTGTCTAAAAAAAACAAAAAGGTACAAGAGTACAAGCGACAAAAAAGGAAAAACTTCAAAAAACTGAAGTGATGCTTAACTGAAGTTAAACTGAGATGATGCTTAACCGAAGTTAAACTGAGATGATGTTTAACCGAAGTTAAACTGAAGTGATGCTTAACCGAAGTTAAGCCGAGATGATGTTTAACCGAAGTTAAACTGAGATGATACTTAACCGAAGTTAAACTGAGATGATGTTTAACCGAAGTTAAACTGAAGTGATGCTTAACCGAAGTTAAGCCGAGATGATGTTTAACCGAAGTTAAACTGAGATGATGTTTAACCGAAGTTAAACTGAGATGATGCTTAACCGAAGTTAAGCCAAGATTATGTTTAACCGAAGTTAAACTGAGATGATGCTCAACCGAAGTTAAACTGAGATGATGTTTAACCGAAGTTAAACTGAAGTGATGCTTAACCGAAGTTAAGCCGAGATGATGTTTAACCGAAATTAAACTGAGACGATGCTTAACCAAAGTTAAGCCGAGATTATGTTTAACCAAAAGTTAAACGGAGATGATGCTTAAACCGAAGTTAAGCCGAGATGATGTTTAAACCGAGGTTAAAACGAAATGATGTTTAACACTTGTTGAAATTTTGAGAGTGCACAAAGTTAAATGTCGACAAAAGATTCGCCGGAGTCAAACGTCGTTTTGATTAGAACAGAACCACTAAGTGCACGCCAGAAGTGGTGACCAGAATTGTGAAAGGAATAAATGTTTCAAGATACAGCAATGATAGTTTGCAAAGGCCAAGAGAAAGAGGGTCTAAAGGGAGTGCATTAAATACCAGAAGTTTTAATACATTGGTGAAAGCAGAACACATCAGGTTTGTGACTACGGCACGAAGCCAACTTCCCTAATGTGATCCTAAGTACAACTTATGTTCACATTAGGGGGCAGGGAGAAGGTGCAGGGGGAAGGAATGATAATTAAGGAGTAAGGAATGTTAACACTTGTTGAAATTTTTGAGCAAATTACAAAATGAGTTAACCGAAGATTATGAAGTCTACCACTTGTTGAAATTTGTAGCAATTTACAAGTTTGGTATAGCCGAGATAACACTGAAAGACGTTTTCAAGATATGATCATCCGAGATGACCAACTAGCTTGTTAAGAGCTGAGAAGGTTGGCAAGTACAAAAATGAAGACCTTAAAAAACTAGGGACTGAAAGCAATAACGTCGGACTGATCTGCTTCGACGGACGACGATGGTTCAGCCTCGGCAGTCAGTTGGAGGAGTTTCTCTACCGTTACCTCAGCATCAATTTCAAGAAAGAAGCAAACTACTCGGCATCAGCGGCAGGTTGTGTCTCACCCCCAGAAGACAGTTGGAAAGAACTTCTCAGCAGCCTTCTCAGTCACGAGCTCAACATCAATCTCCTGAAGAGTTTGATCAAAGCTTTTCTCGGCGATTGGCACCTCGGC